TGTGTTAAGAAATATGAAGAAAAGAAAGTTTGCAAAAGTTTTTCTTGCAAAGTATTTACATATGTAAACATTTTTCTTGGGAAAATATTTATGCATCAACCAAACGAACCTTCATGGCTGTTCCAATATTTCACGTGGAAGAATTCGCCTATGTTGTAAGGTGTGGGGATATTTTCACACCAATTGATCCTATTGCATCTTTTCAAACCAATTAGCAGCTAATTGGTGTGAAAATATTCCCACCTCTAACGTATAAGGGAATTTTCACATGAAAATATTTTTCAAAAAATATTTTTATGTGAACCTGACGTGTGAAAATTCACCCTTACAACCAAATAAAATGATAGTAACCAAAATACCTTGCATATGAACCCCATCATTTAAGCATGGTTGCATCGAGTGCTTCATGTCCATTATATTTAAGAACAAATTTCTTACATATTTTATACTTCTAAATTATTTTTACTATTTTTTTATCCTTTTTTAATAAGGTTCAACGGTAATCAGACTAGTTTTGATTGGAGATAACCGTTATAAAACCTTTCATCAATTTGGTGGCTAGTCAAATGCTGATAATGCTTCTTCACCCATGCAAACATTCTCATGCTTTTTGCATGTAAACATTCAATTGCTTTTTACATGAATGTGATGCTTTACATGAATGTGATGCTTTGTACGAGTGATTCTCCTGCCCATATATTAGAGAAGGTAAATATTGAAGGAGTAATAGATTTAAAAGTAGGTGGATGCACTTAACATTGTTCGAGCTTCATTTGCAAAACAGAGATGAATTACCTCTGCCATTATTCTACTATGACATTGGAGTAGATTGAATAAATATGAAAAATAGTTAATGCACACTACGAGGTGCCATAGCATCGTTTTCAATAGCCTCTATAACTTTAGTTTGAATTACAACTAATGGAGTGGTCCAAAATGGGTATTAGATTATTCCATTTGATTTGATTATTGATTGGTTTCCTTTATTTTGAAAAAAAAAGAGAAAATAAGAAAGAAGAGTTAAGTTGTTCGAGCAGTTTTTGTTAGGAGATTGAAATGTAGGTCTATAAGTTTACCACTTAATTTTTTATTGTATATTTTATATACATTAATCAAAAGAAAAAGTTTATATAAGGTTGTGATGCACTTCAAAAATCCATCTAAAAATATTGTTTTAATATTTTTTTGCCTACAAGTTTACCACTTAATTTTTTATTGTATATTTTGTATACATTAATCAAAAGAAAAAGTTTATATAAGGTTGTGATGCACTTCAAAAATCCATCGAAAAATATTGTTTTAATATTATTTTTTTTAAAAAAAAGCCTCTAATTGATCATCTCATGTCAATATGTATGAATATTAAAAAAAAAAAAATTTGAGTCCCACAAATAGTGCATCTTGCAACACATTATCTAGACTAACCATTTTCAAGATTTTCATATATTTATAGATCTACTTGATTTTAACTACAAATAGTGCATCTTGCAACATATTATCTAGACTAACCATTTTCAAGATTTTCATATATTTATAGATCTACTTGATTTTAACTATTTTTGGAGTTTTAAATTTTATAATTAGATATAAAAATAGATTTTCTGATAATCCTAAGAATTTTTAATAAGAAAATTATATGTTATGATAAAATTTGCAGTTAACCCTTAATTAGATTGCTTAAGGTTGCAACCTTTTAACAAAATGATATTGAAATATATGACTTTGTTTAAAATTTTACTTTATTTTTTTATTATGTATGTCCAGTTTTTTTTATTGTGTATGTCCTATACATGAACAAGATTTCCCTTCTGATGCGGCACTTCTTCCTCAATTCATTACCTTATGTTTAAAAGGATACAGTTTTTATGCGGCCAGCCGCATACGGTAGAAAAGTGGGCTCCGCAATAAATATAATTTGATCATAATTTTTAGAGAATATATAATCTTTAATCAGGAGATCATGAATATGAATTTTTTTTTTTTGAAAACTAGAAATAATAATTATATTAAAAAAATATTTGGACCGTTAGTTACAACTGTTTTTCCTTCTTTCCTCTAGTCCTTTACTTTAATTACCTATTTCAACCCACCCACCAACTTTTAGAAAAAATAAAAGAAAATTACAAAATGATATACACTATAAAATGGTGTTGAAAAATTACAAGAAAAAAGAAAAGAAAATTACAAAATGATATACACTCTAAAAAGGTGTTGAAAAATACATGTACTAAAATTGAACACATTCTTAAACTTGAACATATTCCATCTATAACTTATATCTCATATAGCAGCGAATCTATGCTCTAAATTGGGTGTTTTGCCAAAAGGAGCCAGTGTAAATTATATTCTTATGGAAAGATACTATACGCTCTCAAAAATTATTGTGTTTAGATAAATATTTCTTATGAAAAAAGTTCTTATTGGACAAAATAAATATTTCTTATGAAAACAGTTCTTATTGGAAAAAATTATTGTGCTTAGATAAATAGCGCTTGGATAAATTTCTTATAAAAACAGTTCTTATTGGCGGGGAAGCTTGCTCTGCAACCTGTGTATGCATGAACTATCCATCATTAGAAATGTCAATAAAAAATTATTGTGTTTAGATAAATATTTCTTATGAAAACAATTCTTATCGGAGAAAATTATTGTGATTAGTTAAATATTTCTTATGAACACATTATGGGAAAGGACGATTCTTATAAGTAAGGAAGCTTGCTTTGTATGCATGACCGAAGTATCCATCGTTCGAAGAAATGGCAATCCTGGCATGAACACAACTGGAGTATCCATCATTAGAAATAGCCATCCTTGTTTCTCTTTCAACCTATTTATGTATCAACACAATTGGAGTATCCATCATTAGAAATGGCAATCCTTGGAAATGGCTATCTTTGGTTTTCCTTATTTCTTGGAAATGGCTATCCTTGGTTTTCTTTATTTCTTCTTAAACCTGTTTATGTATTTCCTTATTTCTAACACAACTGAAATATGCATCATTAGAAATGGCAATCCTTGGTTTTCACGTGAAAAAGAGTGATCTTTCTCATATGAACATCGTGACAACCCCCTCCTATAACTTTTTTTTTAGTTGTGATCAATGTTTTAAAATCGGGAATCAAATTTTGATCACCCACCACACTATTGATCTACATTCATTAAATCGGTAGAAAAGCAGCAAAAATAATTAATAATTAATAAAATACTCATATCAGCAGTTCCATAGAGACGGATCACCAGTTCACCAATTTCAATTTAGATCGACCATTCCCAATCTGAATCACTATGTTTTAATAAACTAATTTTTCCAAAAGATGAGCTTTTCCACCAAGAGCACCAGATAAATCCTTCAGAACCTTACTGATTTTTTAACAGAGCCAAGAGGTTTTCCACCAAGAGGACCAGGTCTATCCTTGAGAACCTTGGTGTTTATGTTACGACCTTCTATGCGCTGAAATACTTTTTTAGATGTTTTATCTCAAGGGTAGAATTGAAACACCCTTGAATTAAGCAACAGAAAAGTTAATCCCATAAAGATTACCCTATTTATAATCCCATAAAGATTACCCTATTTGTATTATGGGTGTGGTTGGTAGAATTGAAACACCCTTGAATTAAGCAAGGGATAACTAATCCCATAGAGATTACCCTATTTGTATTATAGGTGTGGTTTGTATAAAGGATAAGGCCGTAAACAATTAAAGCAAACGCACCCTTGAACAACGTCAAAATATATTATTTCAGTTTTTGATGGCTTGAAAATTCATATCTCCAATAGTAAAATTTAGAGATTAAAAAATAGTGTTAGATCAAACAGATCTGTGAACCCTTGAAATTATTGAAAATTGTCGTGCACTATTTTCAAGACTTAAAATCCATTTTTCTCATGTCCATACATTTGAGGTCAAGATGTATGATCGACTTGGGCGTTTTTCAGAATCAAAACAACCCTCTTCCAATGAAATTTTGATGTACGCCTTAATTTGATGGTTTACGGCCTCATCCTTATATGAACTTTTTCCTTATATTAGAGGCCCTCCAAGTTGTGTGCCGTCTCCCTTTCACCTATTCGAAAGCGAGAAGCTCTTATAAGAGTTCTAAATGTGCATGCAAAGTTTTATGTGCTTTCCATTGGAGGGAACCATAAACCATAGTAAACATGCCATTGAGTTTTCAAGGAAAATAAGAATTTCCCTCTAAATTGAGAGTGAGAGAGAGAGAGCCGTTCTCAATAGGAACGAGTATTTCCCAAGATGGAAATGACAATGTTTTGTAAAGAAAAGGTAAAAACTCATCAAAATATTAAAGAGACGAACCATTTAACCTTTTACACATTTGCAACTATTGTAATTCTTGATCATGCGTCTTTTCATTGGTATTTTGAAATTCTATCAGTTAAGAATGTTAAATAGTTCATCTAATGAATATTTGGATAAACTTCCCAAAAATTGACAATGGCTAGAAAGGTGTGAGCGAATTATAAGCTGAACAGCAAACATGGAGAAGTTTGGTCTCAAAAATATTATGACATTCAACAGTATACACAAACTTGCGTTGTTGACAAAATTTGCGGAAGTGTGTGTTCCTATACGCAAATTCAGGCTCAATCGAAACCTCACAGACCATTCCAAACTCTTTTTATCTTTCTTTCGCCTTTCCCACTCTTCACCCATCGTCATCCACCTTTTTAAGGTTTCAGCATAAAGATAGGCACGGCACCAAGATTCTATTCTTTTGGCGAGTATTCATTCGCAAACTCTTTATTAAGTTGTTCTCGTGATTCCGTTTTCGCAGCAACCATGACATCGTCAAGGAAGCTTCTTTGAGGGAATTCCTGCGGCACAAGGCTCTGATAGTTCTCAAATTGTTCTTCTGCTTCTTTTTTCTTGTCTAGTAGGCTGTAAATGATTCCCTGGAAGAAAAAACCCATAAATGATGATCTCTATATCCATTGAAATACATGTAAATAATAAATACATAGTACACATTGAAATACATGTAAATAATAAATACATTGTAGACATTGGTGACCTATATGATTAGATGCATGTAATTATTTCTATATAGATTTATAGGCACAGATATAATTGAATATGTGTGTGCAAGCATGCATGAAGGAAAACATTTGGTCCAGCCACAACAACAGTATTCGCCCTCCCCTATCCCTATTTTGGGAAACTTATTTGCATTTGAATCACCCCAAATTTGGGGCACTGACTTCCTCGGGCTCCTAGGGAGGAGCAAAGAAAGACTGCGATTAAAAATCTCGGCAAAAAACCAGAAATGGTTTCTCTCGGGCTCTTCGGGCTGAGCAAAGAAAGACTGCGATTAAAAATCTCGGCAAAAAACCAGAAAATGGCGGTCCATTTTAGGAAGAAAAAATGGTATTTGATCAATGCCCTAGGGTGATTCCAGATGAACAACTTAAAGGGAAAAAATGAAACGCAAAAACCAGAAAATGGCTGTCCATTTTAGGAAGAAAAAATGGTGTTTGATCAAATGCCCTAGGGTCATTCCCGATGAACAACTTAAAGGGAAAACAATGAAACTGAAAAACAAAAATGAAACTGAGTCCTCGGAGGAATGCACTTCCTGCACATTCTCCAGGGTGTCACACATTCTCCAGGGTGTCATAGAATGTATTTATGGCTTCTTCATTGGATCTTGAGGGTGTCACAGAATGTATTTATGGGCTTCTTCATTGGGTCCATACCATTGTCGAGGGTATCACAGAACGTATTTATGGCTTCTTCTTTGGATCTCGAGGGTGTCACAGAATGTAGTTATGGGCTTCTTCATTGGGCTCATTGGGTCCAAGAAAATGTGTGACATGGTGCAAAACAAACATCACCAATGCCACCAAAATGGGGGGTCGCCCATGACCAGACCAAATGTTTTACCATGCATGGATAAGTATGTGTCTACCCATGTGTCTCTCGCATTTTATGTTGCATTTTTCCATGTCTAACATATATGCATCACTTTACCCTAATGGTCATCTGTAACCACATGCTGTGAACATATCAGTTCACATGATAATGGTTATTTGTAACCACACGCTGTGCACACATCAGTTCACATGATGTATGTGTGCTTGCATCTTAATATTAGTAAAACAATCAATATAAGAAATACATTATAAATTAACAGCAATGGAAGACAGAAGGCAAGAAAGTAGAATAAAACTGAAGAAGAATACTCAAATCAAATGATAACACGAGAAAATGAGGAAAGCAAAAGTCACGATAAACAGGAAAAAGCAATTAGTTGGAACAAATAGAGCAACATAAGCAAAAGAGACAAATTAGGTGTTAAAGATAGAGATTTCTTTATTTGAAGTACATCCAATGGGGACAAGTATAGAGAGCATTCATCAAGGCCATTTTACACTTACCTGACAAAGATATGGCCGGAAATCTCGAGGGTCCTCATTGACCAAATCTTGGAATTTCTTCAAGCCCTCTTCCAACTCCCCCTGAATATTGAATATTTAAATATGCACAATAATGTTCATGTACATGAATAGTCGTAAGCCCTCTTCCAACTCCCCTGAATATTTAAATATGCACATATGTACATGAATAGTCGTAAGCCCTCTTCCAACTCCCCTGAATATTTAAATATGCCCACTAATGTTCATGTACATGAATAATCATATGTACAAGCATTATGGGCATAGAGACGAACATACATAAATACATGAATGCATATTTTCACAGATAAGAGTTGTGCATACCTCAAAAACGCACACAAACACATACACACACAGAGACAGGTGTGCGTGAGAGAGAGAGCAGAGGGGGGGAAGGGGGGGAAGGGAGGGGGAAGAGAGAGGCATCTAAGGCAATAGTACCTCAGATCACTCAAATACTACCTTCACAACGTGCATTTGTGCAATCAAAATTTTAATGTTCCGCTCCTCAGTAACCCTGTTCTCACGCCGAGCCTGGACCAAAGCCTTATCCAACATTTCGGAAGCAGCAGGACCTTCCCCTTTTCTGTGCAACACCAACGCCAACCCCTAAAAGAGAGAATCTTAAGTTTCTTGAAGACTCATTCAAATACAAAACCATGCTCCAGGAGCGTATATTAAACTAATCCTTGAGTTTTACATTGATTAGAGAAAAAATTAAAGCCCAGTTACACTCTTTTTATGGTATACGAAGCATATAATACTTGAGGCCACCAAAAATAAAAATATGAAAGCCACTAGACTAAAATGGATAGCTTCAATCCTTTTAAAAGCTTTAATCAGTTTTCATTTTACAAGCAGATGAACTATTAACATGTGTAGGACCTGATTTGGTCAAGTTTTCTTGAGATGCTTAGTGACAACAAAATAACTGCACATGGTGTCATGGAAATCAGCTGGCAAAGAAAATCATCTCTACTTCACACATCTGACTCAGATTGGACAGAAAACATGCTTAAGAAAAAGCTTCCTCTCATATGCATTCATTCACTAGCTTCCTCTCAGACTGGCCCTGAGCCTAGCCTTACCGGGTGTGATAGAGACTCTTAAAAAGATATAGAGAAAGAAAATGAAATGGTGAGACTCTGCCAAGACACTTAAAAATACAAGAAAATTGTGAGATGGGCTAAGACATTCTGGGTATCTGAGCACTGCATGCTAGTCTTTGGGCTATTTCAAATGCATAGATATGCGAATCAGAGATGCCAATTCCCAAAGGTGGTCTTTCAGACACAATACATCTGCCTAACATTTAAATGAGAGGAGGTGGGAGTTTGAGGGACATTTAGTACTTTCCAATGACATTTCAGAAAAAAAGAAAAGAAAATAATCCTAATAAAAAATAAAGATCAAGTAGAAGTGTCTAAAACATACATGGCCAACCCAGCATGTCAACATGCACTTTTTTTGGACATGTGTGTCCAAATCACAAATGCTTGGAAGCTCAATTTGGTGTGAGGATGGTGCTATGGTAAGAAATTTTGCAGGACTATTTTACAAGGACAGCACAAGGGCCGAATCCTCAATGTAGTGATCAGTAAAATAGCAAGAATGCAAGGGAGACACCAAAGACTGCACCAAGAAAACATAGCAGATAATAGCATACTTCAATTCATTCTTTTCTTTTTTCTTTTTTTTTTAAAAGTGTTAACTGTTCTATTAGTAAAGGTACAGGAGATACAGAAAATGGGCTACCCACAAGCCAGGAGCACCATACCAAAAAATAGGCAACCCACCGAGTGGGAGCCTATACAAAAATGAAACTGACCTGAAAAGGTTGCCCTATACAAAAAACCAGTAAAGTTTAAACAAGTCGACAAGATATAAACAGAGAGATACAAAAGTCTTCTCATGGCTAAGACGAGGATCCCAAAAAATCAAACTGTTGTAGGCTCCATCTTTAGCGAGGTTGTCCGCCTTGGCGTTGGATCAGGCCCAAGTAATAACATTCTTAGTGTCTCCCTCTATAATCAAAGGCTCGCTCCAAAGGGGATTGAAGAGTTTGAGGCCTTCCAAGAGGACCAAGGACCAGGCTGACTGGGAGTCCACATGACCGGTGTGCTTGGCAAAGGAGGCCAGGACTTGTCCGTTTTGGTCCCTGAAGATCAACCAACGCCTGCTGGGCCAGGGTTGCCAAGGGAGCAACCATCGAAGTTCAGCTTGGTCTGTCCCTCAGGAGGTGGGGATCAGCAGGGGGCCCGAGGGTTACGAGGTGATCTATTGTGGAACAAGGCTAGCCATTTCTGGAGGAAAGCTGCTGATGGGTAGCCTTCGAACCATTTATAGTTGGTAGCCCAGTAGGTAACCGATGATGTGATCTTGTAGATGAGAGCAGCTAGCAAACACTTTTCTCCTTGGAAGATTCTACTATTTCTTTCAATCCAGATGACCCAAATGGTAGCTGCTACTAAGGTTTTCTACAGCTACTGGCTTTGGGCCATGGAATCGATTGTATTGAGCGAAAAAGGGCAGGATTGGAAGGTGAGGTGACCCAGTGCCAGTTGAACAGTTGGAGGGATGCTCCCCATATAGCATGAGCCAGGGGGAAATGGAGGAATAGGTAGCCGTTGCTTTCTCCGTCAACCAGGCACACATCACACCTATTGGGTATTGGTAACACTCTTTTTGGGAGTTGGTCGACTGTGAGGGCCCTTTCAGCCAAGGGAAACCAGTTAAAGACTTGGATTTTGGGAGGGGGCGAGGCTAATAGAGGACCAAGCTTGAGCAATAATAGAAGTGGGAGAGAGAGGGAAGGTGGGTGGCATAAGCAGCATTTTGTAGAGAGAGGAGACAGAGAAGGATCCCGAAGGTGATGGGCTCCAGATAATTTGGTCGGGGCCACTGGGGGCAAGAAGTGGAAGAGGGCTGAAAATTTGAGAAATTCGGCTGTTTCAGAATCAATGACAGCTCTTCTGAATGAGGGATTCCAAGCTCTCGAGAGACCCGTAGTAGGCATTTCATCAGCCATTGTAGAGTTTTGGTTTAGAGTTATGGAAAAAAGAGAGGGGAAGAGGTTCTTGAGGGGGGTTATGGCCTATCCACAAGTCGGACAAGAAGCTACCCGACGCCCCCCTCAGGGATGAAAATGAATAAGACTATGGAATAGGTTAAGGGAGCTTAAAAAGGATTTCCAGGTCCCCGAGGCCCTGCTGGAAGGCCTACATTTAGGGAACCAGGCAGATGAGTCGAGTCGATATTTGTTTCAGAAGTTGGTTCTCCTGGCTCGCCAATCCCCACCACCATTTGCCAAGCAATGAAGATGTTTCCTTAATTGCCGAATCATGAGGCGTCCTAACTGTTGGGGCTAGCATACTTTGTCCCAATAGATGAGATGGTACTTTCTCGTGCCGGATTCGCCTGACCACAAGAAATTTCTCATCAATTGCTCCAGGCGGGTGGTGACCACCACATGCATATGGAAAAAGGATATAAGGTACAAATGGATATTAGATATGCAGCCTTGATGAGAGTAATCCTACCAGCTAATGAGAGAAAGTGTCCTTTCCAACCTGCCAATCGACGGTCTACTTTGTCGATGATATAGACCATAATCTCATCTTGGGTTTTCCAAGGCACCAAGGCATACCCAGGTAGTTAACATCTCGACCTGACAACCCCAACCGGTGGCAAGAATATGCGTGACTTGCAAATTCATAGCCATTCCAATAATCTTAGATTTAGCGGTGTTTACTTTGAAACCCGTAGTGAACTCAAAACATTTGAGGAAGAAGCGGAGGGATTCCAGCTCCTGATGAGAGGCGCCAAGGAATACTAAGGTGTCGTCGGTATATTGTAGGTGGGTAATGACCGGGCCTCGCAAGCCACAATTGAATCCATTCAGCTGACTGGATCGAAACATACGGGTGATGGATTGGCTGAAAACCTTGGCCACTATAGCAAACAAGAAAGGGGAGAGGGGGTCTCCCTGCCGGGGGACCCTTGGACGAAGGGAAGTAATCCTTGGGTGACCCATTGATGAGTATGGAGAAATGCAGTTGCGAATAACAGCCTTCTATCCAATCTCTCCATCGAACTCCAAACCCCATTCTGTAGAGGGTCTCATCCAGAATACGCTAGTTGACATTGTCACATGATTTTTCCCAGTTGATTTTAAAAATTATCCCCAGGAACTTAGCTAGGTGCCTAGAGTGGATGCTTTCGTAACTTCCACATTCATTCTTAATCACCAATTACTTCATCTTCCAAATAACTGACTCCAATTTCAACTGATTTGACATAAAAGGCCTTTGACTAGAGCTTTACAGGAACAATTCGAGTATTCAAGACGCTATATGATTGTTCTACTTCTTTTATAGTAGGAAGGAGTGGGATATATGAATATATACAAACTTCTGAATAATCAAATGCAAATTCTATACATGCCGTTCATCTCAAATATAGGATTTAGGTCACTGAATGCTCATTGAATCCATTCCTAGTCATCTTAAAATCTTAACCACTGGGCTTAATCTTAAGAATCAAATAGTCATGTACAAATTAAAGGAATCTGAGTAGTGAGAGGTTAAGCTATGCTAGATCAAAAATCTTATATAATTAAACTATGTTAAATCAAAGATCGCTATAGTAGTTTGGCATCATAGAAATAAGAAATTGCCACTTTGGAACTAGTGTTTGATCTATTTATATCTAGGAATAAGACATTTCATCAATTACAGTTATACTCTGCCATTGTTTAGAAATCCAATTCAAAGGTTTATCAAAATTAATACAATTTTGAGAAAACAATTTTGCATGAGCACTCTTCTGCCAAGAAATTCAGTAATGTTGTTTCACTATTCTTCAAGAAATAGAAATAATAACATACCATGTTTAGGGTTAAAAACTCACTAGTCATCATCACTTGCAGAGCATTGAACAAATCAACAAACCAATTTCCATTTTCTAAACACTTCTCCCAACTTCTCAATGAAGAATTGACAAAACAGTTCAAATAAATATATATAAAGCAAACAAAACAGCGATCAATGAATACTTAAAAACATTTTTCTTTTATAGAAACATTACCAATAATCATTACTTGCCTACCAACCCGAATTTCCACAAAAAATTTATTCCATATCTTCAATTACATCATCATCATCATCATTTCAGCCTTTTCCAATATCTTCAATTATATAAAAACTAAATAAATAGTCATTTTTTTGAGGAATACTAAAAAAAGAGTCATTTGAAGCATACAAGCAACCCTAGGCATAAAATCATTAGTTGAGAGAATAATGAAACTTTAAGTTTTGGAGAATCATACATGCAAAGCTCTAAGGAGCAACGGGTTCTCTTCAAGGATCTCCTTGAACAACCTCTTGGCCTTACTCAACTGCCCCATCAACTCATAAGACAGGGCCTGTATAAGCCTCCACTCCACTTCACCTGGTTCAACCTCTCTCAATCTCTCAACATATTTGATAGCTTCTTTGGTTTTCCCTTCTCTCATTTTCCCATACAAAAGCACCTTAAGAGCCTCAACATCTTGAGGGTTTCTCCTCAAAATGTCCACGTAAAGTTCATCATCAAAATTCCCTTTCTCAAAATCAATTGTCTCCTCTAATGGAGCCTGAGCATTGGTTTTTATGGGCTCTACCATTGAAGGGCTGCGAAACCTTCGCATAAATAGAATGCCTCCCACAAAGACAAGAACAAGAGCCCCACCTAACCTCTTTAGGCCAGAGAGCTTAGAGCGTTGTGGGTTTTCAGCTCTAATCTTACTGAATCTAGGTTGCCATGAAAATAGATTAGAGGAAGTGGAAATGGGTACCAGGAAAGATGAGGTTTTGCGGTCGGTTTTAGAAAGAGACAAGGCTTTGGAATCTAAGAGAAAGTGAGTGTTGGGGTAAGAGACAGAGAGAAAGGTTTTGGGTAGGTAAAAATTGATCAATTTCTGGTGAGTTGTACATGATATACAGTGTATCTGCAACATGGGGTTGATTGAAATGGTCTTCATGGCCTTAAACCCTAACTAAAACCTAAGTCCAACAGAAATGGGGCACAAATATCGCCCTGAACACAAATTTCTTGATGTATTTTTGCTCTGTTCATTAAAACTCGCTCTACAACTTAGAAGTAGACTGACTGTAAAAACTCTTTATAAATGGGTTGAGCTTAGTTTCAAACAAAAACAAAATCAAGTAAATTAATGCAAGGAAACACAAAATTACCCCCAATCTTTCTACATTTTACTGAAAAAAAAGAAAGATTACTGGGTCTCTAAAAGACAGTCGTTTAGAACAATTAGGCCTACCCACTTACAGGAGAAATAATGCTCAGTCCATTATGCGTCCTTCTCCCCATTCACAGAAGGAAAATGGTAAAACCAAACATTGGGGTCATGTCTTAATTGATGGAAATACACGAGTAAGCTCGTAGCAGTCACAAGTTGATGTAGGAAAACTTATCGAAGGAGAAGGTTTATATAAGGATGTAAATTTGTACCATAGAATTAAGGAGGACATCAAAAAGTTAGTAGGAAATAATGTCTTTTAAGTTTGAAAATCTTCCAATTGATCATATCTACTCTAAGATGTACGGATATAAAAATAAATAAAAAATTAGAACTTTAAAAATAGTTCATATGGTAATAAGTTATCTTGACGGCACATCTTTAAAATTTTCGTGTATTTTTAGATATGTTCGATTCATACTTTTTTAAGATTTTTAAATTTTATAATTAAGGTTGAATGTAAATTTTCAAGTCATCAAAAGGTTTCTAACCAGGAACTACTTCTCCCAGCAAAATTTTTAGAGGTGTGCTTTACTTGTATAGTAAACGGTGGGCACCTTATAACGACCTCATCTCTTAGCAAAATACCTGTAAAATTAAACTATTTAATGTTCTATTCATGTATAAATTAAAGACACGATTTCTACGAGTCCATGTAGAAATGATTTACCCCTTAAAAATCTATTTTTGAGATCGCTTTTTGGACTTAATTGTTCAAGGCATGTAATCTCTTGGAGAAATAAAATTTAAAAATTAAAAATAACAGTTCTATTAAAAAACATTTGTATCATTAGTTTCAATTATTTTTAAATGGACCGCCGCTTTGCATTCATCTTTAAGATGGATACTTTATGCTTCAGGGACCGCAAATATAAAAATACAGGCATGAAACAATTTTTCGTAATTAAATAAGTTTTAAAGCACATTTTGATGTGTAGTGGAATATTTGAAATTTGATAGAAAGAAAAATAAACTTTTTGAAATTTGATAGAAAGAAAAATGAACTATTTGAATTTGGATACAAAATATGGACAAGATACTAGTAATTCAAATATTAAGTGTAGCTTGATGAATTTTCATTCAAGAAATAAAAGAGAGGCTTGGGTCTCATCCAAAGAGATTGAACCAAATTTCAGTTGTTGGGTTTTGGCCGTAAGTCAGTAAGCAGTCAAGGGAAAAGTTTATATAGAGCATAGGCTCTAAAGTCTAAACAATCAAATTAGAACCTACCTCAAAACTTCTACTAAAAAAGGTTGTTTTGATGCTCAAATATCATCAAATTGATCATCTCCACATCAAGATTCATGGACATGAGAAAAAAATAGATTTCAAGTTTCATAAATAGTACATCTTATAACGTAGTTTTTGAACCGTCAATTTTCAATATTCTCAAGTTTTCATAGATTTGTTCGATCTATACTATTTTTGAAGCTTTAAATTTTACCACTAAAGATGACAATATAATTTAAGGCCATCACAAAACTTTCTAATATTAAAACCATATTTCTGGATGCTATTTAAAGGTGGGCTCTAATTTGATCGTTTAGAGCCTCGGCTCTATACAAACCGCACCCTTCATGTCAATGTGTTTGGTCCAGGGTTTGAAAAAACTGTGAGTCGACCCGGACTCACCTGGTTTGACTTGAGAATCGGCAGTCCCCGTGTCGGTTCTACCACAAAACCAGGAATTGCCCGGGTCTAGAGAGAACCGGGCGATTCCCAATAGTGAAGCGTCGAGTCTCACTCAAGAATACGGGCTGCGCAGTGTTCTTTACGATTTCATCTTTTTTTGTCATTTTCTTATCATTTTTCATCTTTTTCAGCCTTATAATCAAACCTTGCAGGCTTTAATTCAAATTTTTCAGCCATTTCAGTCAATAAAAGGTAGTAAAAATCACTGATTTTGATCAAAAAAAATTGGATCGAAAAGTGAGTTTTAGGGTTCCGCCATTTCACTGATTTCAAGTGAAAGAGGGCATCATTTTTTGTAAAATTTTAGGGTGATTGATCGTAAGAGTGTTGTTCAGAGGTTTCTGTTCATAATTTGTGATTATTTTGGAGGAATACATATCAATTTTGAATTTGAAGGCACGGGTGCAAGAAAAACAGGTAAGAACTGTATTTTTTTTTTTTTCCGCCATTCTATCAAATTCACTCAATATTTTACAAA